GGAGGAAGGAGGAGAGGTCCAGGTAAATCCCATCAGCCCTCGGGGCCGAGATGGAATTCGCCCCCCCCCTCCCCGTGGGTCTGCACTCAGGGCCTCGCAAGGGGTTAGGGCGTCCAAGATGGCCCCACCGAGAAATCATCAACCATTGACTTTCATTCGGTTGGGTGCCAATCTGCACCTCCGGGGGGGGGAGGCGAGGCTACGCGGCGCCGCTTCCTTTGTTGCTCCCCGGCTTCCAAGATGGCCCCCAAAACCTGCCGAAAAGAAAAAGAGAGCCAGGGTCCAAAAAGGCCCCCCCCATCGGCATCCAAAACGCTCCAAGAGGCCCCCCAAGAGCCGACAAGTGGCCATGAGCGAAAGAGGTTGGCTGTCTGGGGCTGTCATCATGTGTATCCGAGACGATTCTATACAACCGTCAGCGTTGGGTCACCGAGATGGGCCCTTGCGAAGATGGAGTCGTCAATATGGCGTTGCTCTATGCGCGGTATGAGGGTCGGCGAAGCCGCGGCGCGACCCATGTTCTGCACGAGCCCGGTCTGGTCCGATGAAGCACCTCCGCGCGCTATTCGGGCGCTTCGGGGGCATCTTGTCAAGGTGCCCCGAGGACGTCCCGAGAGCCGTCTAAGCGGCCCTCAAGAGAGCACCCAAGAGACCCAATGAAGCAATCGAGGGGCCTCTTGCCCACACAGGCCCCTGGAGCTCTCAAGATGCTGCCACGCTTCCCCAAGAGGGGCAACTCCCCTGGGCATGGTGTCTGGATGGGCCCGTGTGGATACCTACGCGAAGCGTGGAGCACTTGCCCACGGTGCCGCCTCTCCTGTCCCGGCATGCTGGACAAGAACCGAAGCAACACGCCTCGAAGAAGCGCTGGATCGACAGGTGTTCCAGTAGCGATCCGAATGTGTATTCCAAGTACGGTGGAGCTTTTAGGTAAGGATGCCTTCGATAAGGAACCCAGGATCTCGCGACCGATGGGCGGCCAAGCGTGGGCAACCCGCCTCGTCTTGAACCAATAGGGAATGCGCCAGGGGGTCTGGGCCCCAGGAAGACGTTCCTTATCCAATGCCGCCGCCGTAGTTGTATTCCAATTACTCAGGGTCTCACCAAGGCTGAGACAGAGCATGTGTGGGCTGACTTACGGGATTGTAACAATCTCAAGTCGGGGCTCGTGACGCCTGCCTTTTCAGCCTCAGTCGCTGCAGGTGCTGGCCTGAGAGCTACCCTCGAGTCCACTTGTGAAGTTGCCGCCCTGGTGGAACTAAAGAACCTAGGCGACAGCGAGGAAACCATGCAGTTCTTCTCTGAGTAGCAGGCCGTAACAAGTGACTACTGCTGCTATGAGTTGCGGTGGAAGCTATTAGCTGTTTCTACTGTTGGGTTCTGGAGGTGGCGCCAAAAGGCGCGTTCCAACTCCTGGCGGTGGCGCCACATGATATGTTCGGCACCCCCTGGCCGTGCCATTCACTCCTGGTTAGGTCGGTTGGTGCGAAGGCTTCGGTTTGCGCGCCGACAGCCCCCCAGATAGTCCCGGCTGGCCTCAACAGGCCCCCGAGTAGCCCCAGGTGGCCTCAACGGGCCCCCCGAGTAGACAAGGGCAGTCTCGACAGCCCAACCCTGGGGCGCGGAGCGCCCCAGGGGGGCCGCCAGAGGCGGCCCAAGGTGTTCAGATCGCCACTACTCGAGGGGCCTGTGGAGGCCACCTGGAACTACTCGGGGGGCCCGTTGAAGACAGCCGGGACTACCTAGGGAGGCTGCCTGCGCGCAACCCGAGCTCTCATCACAGGTCGGAGTCCGAGCGCAAGCCCGTGCATTGGGGCTGCTCGGACAAGGGCGAAGCGAACTACCACACTGGCCCCTTACGGGTTGGACCCCTGCTCTGAAAAGAGCGCGCGCGGGCTCGCAGGCAGGGTGCCATCGCCGCGACCTCCGAAGCATGTGGCGGAAACCATGGCCACAATGGCGCATGCGGCCCTGCAACTACAAGCGCCGGCAGTTCCTCCTCCTCCTCCTCATCAGCAGGAGCATCATCATCATCAGCATCATCAGCAACAGCAGCATCACCACCACCACCACCACAATCATCATCATAATCATCATCATCAGCATCAGCATCAGCATCAGCATCAGCATCAGCATCAGCATCATCATCGTCATCATCATCATCATCATCATCATCATCATCACCATCATCATCATCATCATAATCATCATCATGATCATCTTCATCAACATGATCACCACTCTGCGAAAGCGAATACACATCGGGCAACACACCTTCCCCCTACATCCACGTACGCGCATCCGGGAAACTTCGGCGAGGCCACGGCGAAGGCGGCGAGCAATACCCTTCTCAAGGAGCCGAGCTGGTTTACATGTCCACATGTTTCCTCCCTCCTCCTCGGTCCTCCTTCCTCCCGGCGCCTTCCACTTCTTCCTCCTTCCTCCTCCCCCTTCTTCCTCCTCCTCCTCCCCCTCCTGCCTCCGTCCTCCTCCTCCCTCTCTCCGTCCTCCTCCTCCTCCTCCTCCTCCTCCTGCCTCCTCCTCCTCCCTCCGTCCTCCTTCCTCCCGCCTTCTCCCCCCCTCCTCCTCCTCCTTCCTCCCGCTGTTTTTTCCTCCCTGGCATGTTCCTCCTGTCTGGGAGGCGGGACGGGGCGAGGGAAGGAACGAAGTGGATATGTAGACGGGTGGCGTTGGAAAACATCGCGCGCAACATCGATCTCCGAAAATCACGCTGTCCCTGTGGAGCGATCGATCCCCCCGCAGGGACCCCTTCTGCACCCTTCTGCGCACGCCATCCCCCTGCCAGGGCTTGTTGGGTGCACGCTATCCCCACGGCGGGGGGATAGCGTGTAGTCGATACGTCGCACGCTACTTCCCCAGCGCTGGCCGCAACGGTCCCCTTCCACCCGCCCTCGGGTCGAATGCAGTGCCCAAGTCTCCCAGGTCGGAGGAGGAGGAGGAGGAGGAGGAGGAGGAGAGGGAGGAGGAGGAGGAGGAGAGGAGGAGGAGGAGGAGGAGGAGGAGGAGGAGGAGGAGGAGGAGGAGTTGTATTCATCAGGCTGACGGGCTCGGATTCCGAACTCTCTCAGATTTTCCCGGGGGCCCCGGCGTGCCTCCCGCGGCTCCCTGGCGCTTCTCCCGCGAGACCTTCTCAAAGCAACTGGCACCAAAAAACGGGCCCTCATAATCCTACTCCTCCTCCTCCTCCTCCTCCTCCTCCTCCTCCTCCTCCTCCTCCTCCTCCTCCCCTCCTTCCTCCTCCTCCTCCTCCTTCTTCTTCTTCGTCTTCTTATTATCCTTCTAGTCCTTGTTATCCTTCTTCTCCTTTTTCTCCTCCTTCTCCTCCTCCTCCTCCTTCTCGTCCTCCTCCTCCTCCTCCTCCTCCTCCTCCTCCTCCCCTCCTCAGAGCAACTACTGGTGCCACAAAACGGGGGCCAAGAGGGCCCCGAGAGGCCTCTGACCTACAACCCAAGGGACGATGGCGGGACGGGCCGAATGCCGGTTACGAATCGTCTCGCCCATTCGCGGGCACGCTGGAGCTCAGAGGCCCCCGGCGAGAAGGGTCACAAGAGCCAAGAGCCCCCAAGGCTCTCGAGGGGCACCCTGCGCGCCTACCGAGATCCAGCATGACTCCCCAGGCGGCCCTGCGAGGCTTTCGAATGTCAGGCTGCCCAAGACGCCCCCAACAGGCCCCTGTGATTGCCATAAGGGTGCACGGCGTGCCAAGTGATAAATAACTTGTGGCTCTGTGAATAAACTGCAAAAAAATCTTCGACCCAACCCGCCAGCCACCGGGGAGGACGCGGAAAGACGCGCAAGGGGGCGAAAACCGCAAAACTCGCCTTCACGAGGAACTGTAAAATGCCATGGTCGTCGTTCTTCCCGCTCCACACAAGCCTAAGAGGGCCTCAAGGACGGCCAAGATGGTCTCCAAGACGGCTACGATGGCTCCAAGAGAACCCAAGATGTCTCCAACACGGGGCGAAATGTTCCCAAGATGGCCTCACGTTTTTGCCAAGACGGCCCAAGAGGGCTCCAAGACGCCCTTCGAGGCCTCCAAGAGGACCTCCAGGACGGCACACAGAGGTCGAAACCATGTACTTTTTTTTTCGGTTTTTGGACGGTTTGGGCGTTTGCTCAGTTTCGGCTTTCCACGGCTCAAGACGGCCCCACGGGCCACCAAAATGAACCCAAGAGCGCCGAGGAGGCCTCAGAGATGGCCCCCTGACTCCCCAAGAGGCCCTCAAGATGGCCCAAAGAGGGCCTCAAGACGGCCCAGGAGACTTCCAAAACGAACGTTTGTGTTCGTGCTGTCCCGCCCGACAGTCTGTGGAAATCCGCGCCGACCTCTGAGTTGTTATGTTTGTGCCATTGGTTGTCCCCCTCATATTAGGTCGAGCATGTCCCCCTACATGCAGATTTTGAATGACAAATAAAAATACCCCCCAAAAAAAATTAAGCGACAATGGTCGAAAACAGATTAGGAACATCGTCCCCAGACGATCTTATTATACTATGTTTGAATATTCCCCCTGTAGACTGACACGCCCGACTTAACCCTAGTAGTGTCCACTCTCTTGCCTCGAGCCCGTGGGATGCGACCGAGTCGGCTCCCAGCGACGCGGCCAGGGGACGAGAGACCACGCAGGCCCCCCCCTTGCCGCCGCCAACGCGCTGGCAGATGGTTGCCCCTGCAGCACTTCGCGAGGAATCCCCTGGGACGGCCTCCAAGACGGCCCTGAGGCACCCCAATCGGGGGGAACAAAAGGGAGGGATAGCAAAGGGTAGAGTAGAGAATCATATCGCGTAGCTGATTTTCCCAGCGCCTCCCGGCGCCGGAAGGCATATGTATCGAGGAATGGGCCCGGCGGCGGGGCCGAAACCAGCTGCATGCAGCAGATTTCGTAACCCCCCCTTTCCCTATGCCCCCTTTTAATTTGGCCCTTGGCTCAGAGGGGCCCCCAGGACGGTTTCCGACGACGTCGGACGAGCCAGGAACGCCCTCAGGCGGCCAGAGAGCCTCCCAAGGAGCCTCCAGAGGCCCACAAGGGGCCTGAGGAAGCCTCCAACAAGCCTCGCAGAGGCCACCAGGAAGCTTGCAGGAGGCTCAAAGAGTGCCCCAAGAGACTCTCAAGAGGCCTCCTCCTCCTCCTCCTGTTTCTTTTTCTTCCCTCCCCTCCTCTTCTTCTTTCTACCCCAATGGTTTCCCCGAGAGGTTTCCACAGCGGCTGGGAGAGGGAACGCATAGTCTGACAGCTTGGCCGAGCACTGGCCTGGGGGCGCTTCCAAAAGAAAGGGGGCGGCAGTGGTTCACCGTAGGCGTCTTCGATCCGCCGACTTGCAACAAGTGTGCACGGCGTGCCATACATTAGCATGGTTTGGGTTATGTTTAGAGGTTCCAAATTGGGTCGCGGCTGATCGCGCCGGCCACCCAGAACAAATGTCTACTAGTGGCGTTCTGGCCCCATAAAGGCCAACGTTTTTTCAGGTTGTCGGCATTCCCGCTCCAGACGGCACCACGATGGCTGGTCCAAGCTGCGGCCAAAACGTTCGGCCGCATCGGCGCTTCCAAAAGGCAGGGGGCGGCGGTGATTCGCCGTAGGCGTCTCGATAATCATCCCCCTCCGATCCTTCACCCGTCCCGCCTCCTCAGAGGCCTCCCAAGTGAAGTTGGAGTAGATGTGGTCGGAGGATCGCACCGCATCGCCGATGCATCGCTGAAGCATCGCCGACGCATCGGCGACGTACCAGCGACGCACCGGCGACGTCGGCGATGCATCGGCCACGTCGGTGTGGAGCAAGTCGAGCTCCACATCGAGCCGCATCGTCGATGCATGGGCGATGCGGCGCGATCCTCAGACCCATTCGACTCGGACCCCATCTAGGGGGCCTGGACCATTTTCGAAAACGTGTCTCCTGAAAGTGGAAACTTCGAAAACACGGCAACCAGCAACGGCTCCGGATGTGGAACCGGGACCGGCACTGGCAAAACCAGGCGACAGGACCAGAAACACAAAACTGGCGCCAACACCAATCGAACAAAACGTGAAGCATGCGGAGCAGGTGCAACCAAAACACGGCCCCCTCGCTCCAGGGCCCCCTCCACCCCAGGGCAAGGAAGGCGCGAGGAGCCAGCAGGGAGCCGCGCCGCGAGGCCGCGCGCGCGGGCGCGGAGGGGGTGGCGCCTCGGGGCGGGCGTCCGCGGCGGGCGGCGGCGGGGCGGTGAAGAGCTCGATCTTGGAGGCGATCTTGCTCTGGTGCGAGAGGAACTGGACCTGCCGCTCGCGGGCCGCCCCGCGGTGCCGGGCGCGGCGCCAGGCAGGGGTCGCCCTAGACTCGGGTCGGGCATGTCCCCCTGCAGGCGGAGCTTGGAGGACAAATAAAAAGTACCCCAAAACTTTAAACAACAAAAAAAAACTAGTCAAAACATCAAAATCCTCCCCAGACTATTTTCACTACGTTTGAACTTTCCTCCTGTGGAGGGGCATGCCCGACTTCGCCTTAAATCCTGAACGGTGCTTGTGGTTTCCCCGTTTTGTCTTCCGTCCGCCTTTGCTGCAGCACAGGATCAAAACAAACAGCGGCCCACGAATTCGCCAAAGCATCGATTAGGTCGAGCCCTGGCGCCAGGATCCCCAATCCTGCGGGGCGCGGTGCCAGGCGGAGCACCTACTGGGCGAGTGGCCCCGCGCCGGGGGGCAGCGAAGTCTGCACGCCTGTGCTGCACAGCGCACTGTGCAGCTCCCCAAAGGTCCATGGGCTCGTGGCGGCCAAAGCCCAGATGGCGGAGCAGTTGTGTCACCGGACGAGCCGATCCGAGCAGCCGGATCGGCTCGCCCGGAGACGCGTGCAGGGACGCCCGAGAGGATGCCAGGCAAGCTCTGTAAGCTTGAGGTGGGAACTTCGTACGAGTCCAGGAAGCGCTGCGAAGGAGCTGCGCAAAGGCCTGCGGCACACGTATTGGGAACGAGTAGGAAGCCCCTTTCCAAGACACGCTGCAAATTCCAGTGACTCACTGCGGGGATGCCTGACCGGCAGCCGGGAGAAAACTCTGGCATGCGGCAGGTTCGTGTCGTGCCGACTTCGGCGTTGGTTTCTGACATCCCCGCAATCGCTCAACCTTGAACGACCGGCCGATTCCGAAACGTCGAATGTTTCAACATCGACCGATTCTGGGTCGCCAGCGGCGTTCAGCGTTGAACGCCAGCGGCGGGGTCGCCGCCGGTCGACAAGACGCGAACCTACTCTGAGTTTCTGAATAAGCGTCGGGGGGGCGTCACCCCCGCTGACAGCCCCACATCGACCCCCGTCGCGGGCAGCCACCGCGCGCCGAAGGCGCTCCGACCCCCGTCGCGTCGCGACGACGAGGCGAGGTTGACCCCCGTCGGGGGATACCCCCCACGCTTATGAAGAAACCCAGAGAGTCGTACCCTTGCCCGCGGGCTTCCAGCTTGACGCCCTTTCAGGTTTCGGGAGTGGGTCGAGGGGGCCCGAGCCACCGCGGCGGCACGTGATGGGCTAGTTGTCCACCAACACACAATTATCCCAGAGCGACCCTACCTAGGAGTTGGAGCCCCGAGGAGAGCAATATTAATAGTAACGGTAAACGCCGTCCTCCTTCTTCTCCTCATCGTCGCAGTTGTAGCAGTATCGGTAGTAGTAGTAGTAGTAGTAGTAGTCGTCGTCGTCGTCGTCGTCGTCGTCGTCGTCGTCGTCGTCGTCGTCGTCGTCGTCGTCGTCGTCGTCGTCGTCGTCGTCGTCGTCGTCGTCGTCGTGTAGTAGTAGCAGTAGTAGTGGTAGTAGTAGTAGCAGCAGCAGCAGCAGGAGTAGTAGTAGTAGTAGTAGTAGTAGTAGTAGTAGTCGTAGTAGTAGTAGTAGTAGTCGTAGTAGTAGTAGTAGTAGTAGTAGTAGTAGTAGTAGTAGTAGTAGTAGTAGTGGTAGTAGTAGTCGTAGTAGTAGCAGTAGCAGTAGCAGTAGTAGTAGTAGTAGTAGTAGTAGTAGTAGTAGTAGTCGTAGTAGTAGTAGTCGTAGTAATAGTACAGCTTAATACCTACATCTGCATCTAAACCTACATCCACAAGCTAAGTTGAGCTATGCTATGTTATGCTATGCTGCGCTGTGCTATGCTATGATAAGCTATGATATGATATGCTATGATATGCTGCGCTATGCTATGCTAAGTTAATGGTGCGCTGCGCTAAGCTCAGCTAAGCTAAGCTGAGCAAGGCTAGGCTAAACTAAGCTACGTTAAGCTAAGCTAAGCTAGGCTAGGCTAAGCTAAGCTAAGTTAAACTAGGCTAAGCTAAGATGAGAGGAGCAAAGCTAAGCTAAGGGGGCGCAACTGGGGGAACCGCGGGGCGGATACTGGGGGAACCGCCCGGGGCGGTTTCCACTGCCCGGCCTCTTTAAGAAAGAGAACAAGAACCCTCCAGGCAGAGCCTAGGTAGGGAATCTATATATATATATATATGTATATATATATATATATATACAAGACTGCATTGGCGCTGCGCGCCATTCACCTTGGTTCTTTGAGTTCTGCACGCAAGCGGAATGCGTGCGTGCGTACATGCGCGCATGCATGTATGCACGCGCACGTGCATGCACGTTCCGTAATAAAAAAAAGGTCTAGGTGTACAAGTTACATTGTTGTATGTGTGTATACAGCGTACATATGTTCGTGTAAATTCATGTGTGTAAGGCTATGAACATGCATATGCAACTCGTACGGGGCATCGTCGGGCATCTTCGCTGCATGCCACGAGACCCTCAACGACTGGGTCACAATGTAAAAAGTCATGGGAGCAAAATCAATGAATGCTGGCATTCGGAAACATCGTGGGGGTGTTTTCGGGGCCCTCGTGGGCCGTTTTGGCGCCTTCATGGGCCGTCCTGGGGCCTTCTTGGGCCGTCTTGGGGAGCTTGGGCCCGCTGGAGCCCCCTTTGGACCCATCTTGGGCACTTCCGGGGACCTCCCATGGCCCTTTTGGGTCCTTGCTGGGAGCCCTTGGGGGGCCTCTTGGTTCCATTATGGGCTGTCTTGGGGCTCTCGTGGGCGATCGTGAGGCCCGGCTCGGCCGTCGTGAAGCTTTCGAGGGGGCCTTTTGGAGCGTCTTGAGGCGGTCTCGGGGGCTTTGAAGCCGTCTTGAAAGCTGATGAAATCCGAAAGGCGAATATGCTAAAATTGTAAGTTTTACGAAGCGAAGTGGACGATTTCTATGGTTTGAAGGCCCATTGGAAAGCTTTTTGGGGTGACTTGCGGGTCTTCATGTTGGCATTCGGAAACATCGTGGGGTGTTTTCGGGGCCCTCGTGGGCCGTTTTGGCGCCTTCATGGGCCTTCCTGGCCTTCTTGGGGAGCTTGGGCCCGCTGGAGCCCCCTTTGGACCCATCTTGGGCACTTCCGGGGACCTCCAATAGCCCTTTTGGGTCTGTGCTGGGAGCCCTTGGGGGGCCTCTTGGTTCCATTATGGGCTGTCTTGGGGCTCTCGTGGGCGATCGTGGGGCCCGACTCGGCCGCCTTGAAGCTTTCTTGGGGGCCTTTTGGGGCGTCTTGAAGCGATCTCGGGGGCTTTGAAACCGCCTTGAAAGCTGATGAAATCCGAAAGGCGAATATGCTAAACTTGAAAGTTTTACGAAGCGAATGGGCCGATTTCTGTGTTTTGAAGGCCCCTTGGAAAGCTTCTTGGGGTGCCTTGGGGGTCTTTATGTTGGCATTCGGAAACTTCGTGGGGGTGTTTTCGGGGCCCTCGTGGGCCGTTTTGGCGCCTTCATGGGCCGTCCTGGGGCCTTCTTGGGCCGTCTTGGGGAGCTTGGGCCCGCTGGAGCCCCCTTTGGACCCATCTTGGGCACTTCCGGGGACCTCCCATGGCCCTTTTGGGTCTGTGCTGGGAGCCCTTGGGGGCCTCTTGGTTCCATTATAGGCTGTCTTGGGGCTCTCGTGGGCGATCGTGGGGCCCGACTCGGCCGCCTTGAAGCTTTCTTGGGGGCCTTTTGGGGCGTCTTGAGGCGATCTCGGGGGCTTCGAAACCGTCTTGAAAGCTGATGAAATCCGAAAGGCGAATATGCTAAACTTGTAAGTTTTACGAAGGGAATGGGACGATTTCTGCGTTTTGAAGGCCCCTTGGAAAGCTTTTTGGGGTGCCTTGGGGGTCTTTTGGGCCGTCCTGACGCAATTGGAGTCCCTCTTGGAGTGCTCTTGTGCTGTATGGGGCCTCCCTTGAGCCTTTCTGATGACCCCTCGGATCGCTCTGGGTCTGCTGGCAAGGCGTTTGTGGAGACCCGGAAGGCCGGGTGACCTTTTCCATGGACGTCCAAGGGAGCCCGAGAACCCCAGATCCCGGGGGTCCAGTTTTTTTTTTGGGGGGGGGATGGGCCCCCCGGGCTTGTAAAAATAGAGGAGGAGGAACCTATATAAATATATATATATATATGTGACAGGGGAGGAGGGAGGATGGGGAGGTCCTCCTCCTCTCCCGCTGCTCTTCCTACTCCTCCTACCCTCTCCTGCCCATGGCAGTGGTGGTGGATAATCGGCCCACCAGCAAGCGCGCGCCCGTGCCCGCACTGTCCAGGAAGGCAAGGGCGGAGCAGGACCTGCCGATCGAAGCGCCCCACCCCCGCCCACCCCAAGCTCGGCTGCTGCGGGCCATGTGGTCGCAGCCAGGGCAAGAGGACGGGGAGAAGGGGGGAGGGAGTAGGCGGAGGAGGAGGAGGACGACGAGGATGAGGCGGAGGAGGAGGAGAAGGAGGCGGAGGATGAGGAGGAGGAGGAGGAAGACGAGGAGGAGAAGGAAGAGGAACGCGGGCCTTGAGCGTCAGTCCTTGAGCGTCGCGGCGTCAGTGCGTCACAGCGTGGCGGTAAGATAAAAGAGGGAGGGGGAGGAGGAGGAGGAGGAGGAGGAGGAGGAGGGGGAGGAGGAGGAGGAGGAGGAGGAGGAGGAGGAGGAGAGGAGGACGAGGGAGGAGAGGAGGAGGAGGAGGAGGAGAGGAGGAGGGGGGATGGGGAGGTGGAGGAGGAGGAGGAGGAGGGGAGGGAGGAGGGGGAGCAGGAGGAGAGGAGGAGGAGGAGGACGAGGGGGGGGGAAGATGGGGAGGAGGAGGAGGAGAAAGAGGAGGAGGAAGAGGAGGAGGAGAGGGAGGGAGGGAGGGAGGGAGGGAGGGAGGGAGGGAGGGAAGGACGGAGAGAGGGAGTCAGGGAGGAGGGAGGGAACAGGGATAAGGGAGGGAGGGATAAGGTTGGTTGGTTGGTTGGACCCCTTCGGATCGCGTGTGAGGCCGCGGGCACGGCCTCTTCAGCGAAACTGCCGAGCAGCAGGCGACCCCCAGATGCCCTGGCCCGTCCCAACCCCGACCTTCGCAGGAAGACTGGCGAGGGGAGGGAGGGGCTCTGAGGGCCCCCACGACGGACAGCCTCGCGGCGATCCCAGAGAGACCACCCCGCGAGGACCCTCGGGAGGGCCGCCGAACGCACGGACCCACGCTGGCTCTTGAAGTTGAGGGATGAAAAAACGATCCTACCCTGGGTTACAAGTGCGCGGTCTGTAAACCTCCTGGGAACCCCCAAAGCCTAGAGCCGCCAGGACGCGGCACATCACGCAGGGTTTACCCTGTCAGCCCACAGGAGTTTCAGCGCACAGCGCCTCGTAAACCAAGGTAGGGGCGTTTTTTTCTGCCCTTGATGAAGGGCGCTTCCGAGGACCCCCTCCCCTCGGTCCAGCACTGCACCCCAGAGCCCCCCCGTCGCCAGGGCAGGGCTCGCATCGAAAGACCCCAACGCCGACGGCGACGTCCTCAAGGGGGGTCGGGTGCGCATCAACGACCTCCCAGGGCTCACTGAAGGGGCCCTGGGACACACAAATAAATACACACATAACAAAACATCCCCATATTTTCCCATATTGTCTGGGTTTCTGTCTCCCCCCCCACTTCCCATATTTTCCCATATTTTCCTGGGGGTCGACGATTAATTGTGTCTGTGTGTTTTTCCCCTCCTGACTCACGCGGGCGACCGCAATCGGAAATGCGGGGGGGGGGGGGGGGGCAGGGGGATCCAATCGGGAGCCCGCAGTGCTCCATGCAAGGGGGCCCCACAGGGTCCTGGCTCGCCGCGTGGCGAAGCACGACGCAGGTGCCAGCCTGTGCGAGGAATCAAGATCAGGGCCCTCCCTCGGGGGAAGCGGCAGCAGCAGCAGCAGCGTCGGCGACAGCGACGGCGACAGCGACAGCGACGACGACCACGACGACGCTGACGACGACCACAAAGACGAGGACGACGACGAGGGCGACGAGCCGAGACGACGGGACGACGACGAAGACGACGACGCGGCCAGCAGCAGCGAACACGAGGGCGAAGGGCGAGGAGGGAGGAGGGAGGAGGGAGGAGGAGGGAGGCGGGGGAAAGGAGGACAGATTTTGCGGCGTGATTTTCGCGAAAGCCTTGGGGCACCGTCCTCCTGAGGCCTCCATAGGCCCAAGAGGGACCAGAAAAGCCGAAGAACCAATACTTATCCTCGAACTGCCCCTCCTCCTCCTCCTTCTCCTCCTACTTCTCCTCCTCCGCTTCCTCCGCCTCCTGGTCAACCTCCTCCTCTTCCCCGTCCTCCGCCTACTCCGCCTCCTGGTCCTCCTCCTCCTCCTCCTCCTCCTCCTCCTCCTCCACTGCGGCTTCCTCCGCCTCCTTGTCCTCCTCCTCCTCCCCCTCCCCCTCCAGCTCCTCCTCTGCCTCCTCCGCCGGCCGCCTCCTGGTCCTCCTCCTCCTCCTCGTCCTCCTCGTCCCCGTCCTCCTCATCCCCGTTCTGCCCGAGGGCCTGCCGAAGGTGCACGGGCGTCTCGAACTGCAGGCAGACCCGCCCGGCCGCCCCTCTGGGCGCCCCCCCAGCCGTCGGACCCGCCCGGTCGCCCGCCCCTCCCTGGACCTCGGGAGGGAGGGAGGCGAGGACGCGAGGACACGATGATCGCCTCCGTTGGGACGCGCAAAGGCGTACTAGCATGTACCATATGTTCTCCTTGGAGGCGCGCGTCCGACCCGAACATCTAGTATACCCATCCTGTAGCATCTCGCTTCCCGAGCGGTGTGGCCAGAAAGCGCCGACCACGCCGCACATACTGTAAGGTTTCTCGGTGCGCGCATCGCCACCAGGGGGGGGCGAGTACCATCTAGTATGAGTGTGTTGGGGTGACGCCGATCAGTCACTCCGAGCAAACACGCTACGTACTGCGTGTTGCGTATCGGGGCAGCTCATGACTGTAGGGGATAGGTATCGGGATGTCGCCACCTGGAGGCTTGGCTGGGAGGCCGACGAGTCCAGAGGCGCCTCGGCTCCGGCGAAGCTGGGCCTGAGCGCGGAGGGCGTCGCGGTGTCGACGGCCGCCGCGCGACAGGTCGGCAATACCGAAAAAACAAAGAAAAAAACTAACAGAGGGGATGAGGAGGAAGACGCGAGACTGCGATGAGCATCACAGTCGCTGGGCAACAGAAAACTCTTCGTCGAGGCGGAGACCCCCACGTGCATCTCATACTCCCGTCGTGCTTCGCTGAGGAGCTCTTGTCTATGAGCACCTGGGTGTGAGAGCGAGTCCGCGTAGACGACAGGCGCGGCAATGACGACTACGACAGCGACGACTTCAGTGACGTCCTCCTCCTCCTCCTCCTCCTCCTCCCCTTCCTCCTCCTCCTCTTCCTCCTCCTCCTCCTCCTCCTCCTCCTCCTCCTCCTCCTCCTCCTCCTCCTCCTCCCCCTCCTCTGGACATATTCCAGATAAGACGAGGGGAGCACAGGTGAAACAGCGAGGGGGATTTCCTCTTGCCGTTCTCTCTGCGCGTATGGCGCTGCTGCGCCCGCTCTCTGGCGTGCTACTCGCGGCCCCTGCTGGCAGCTGGGATGCCCAAACGCCACGCCGGCTACATCGCTGCAACCACTTGTTTGTGAGCCGTGGTACGAATGATTCTGAGCGTGGGTGGTCTGAGAGTGAGCGAATAGGACTGCAAGTGGATCCGGGCATGATCGAGCCTGAGTGAGGGTCACTCTGGATGTATAGTCATTGTAAGTACGAGAGGGTCCGAGTACGAATGAGTCCGAGTGCGAGCCAGTCTAAATGCGAGTGGGTCTGAATGTGAGTGAGTCTGAGTGTGGGTGAGTCCGAGTTTGAGTGCGACGAATACCAATATGAATATATGAATGAGCCAGGGTGCAAGGGAATCTGAATATGAGCGACTCTGAGGGCTGGTGAGTCTGAGTGTGAATGAGTCTGAGTGTGAGCTGGTCTAGGCGTGGGTGAGTCGTAGTTTGAGCGAGTCTGAGTATGAGCGATTGTTAATGTGTGAATATGAGTCTGATCGAACCTGAATATGACCGAGCCCGAATATGATGAGTGAGTCCGAGTGAGGAAGAAGTGCCGATGCGTAAATCCGAGTGCGAATGAATACGTCCGAGTGGGGGAAAGGAGAAGGAGGTACGAGAGTGAGTGAGTGAGTGCGTGAGTGAGTGAGTGAGAAGCACACAATTCCCCAAAAAAATCAGGGGGTAGAAACAGGCGAACTTCCTGAGACAACCCCCCCACTCTGAGCGCGAATCTCGAAGTGTCCCCACCACTGGCGGCTCCGCAGTGGGGGGCCCGAGTGCCACGCCTGCTGTACCACGGTGAGCACCGGACAACTAAAACAAAGCCTGTGGGGCAGGAACAAGCAAGCCTCCCGAAGCATCCCCCAAATCTGACGGCGAACCCTGGAGTGCCCCCCCCCCGGTGTCGGCTCCCACTCGTTGTGCCCAAAATGCCACGCCTGCTATGTCGCGGTGAGACGTGGGCCCCAAGACATCTCAGGGACAGCAACCGGCAAACCGCCAGAGGCATCCCCAGGAACTGGACGCGAACCCTGGAAGGTCTCCACCCCATCTGACGGCTACCCCTCGGGGTGCCCAAACGCCACGCCTGCTAGATCGCGGTGAACACTGGACCACCAAAAAAAACGTCTGGGGGACAGAAACAGGGAAAACCGCCTGAGACATCCTCACACTCTGCTCTGAAAGCACCCTAACAAGCAAACCGCCTGGATCTGGGCGCGAACGAAGGAGTGAGGTACCCCGTGGCGGCTCACCCTTGGAGTGCTGAAACCAGCGCCTCGGCCAGCACATCCTCACACTATGGTTTGAAAACGAAGCATGTTGGGCACCCACATAGGACAACCGCCCGAGACATCCACAAAATCTGGGCGCAAACGGAAGAGTCGGATACCCTTTGGCGGCTCTTACTTGGAGTCACATTATGTGCGAGTGAATGATTAGGAATACGTGTGGGTTTGAATGAGGAAGTTATGTGGCTGAGTCTGCGTGAAGGGAGGAGTGAGTCTGAGTATTAGTGAGACTGGGGGAGGGAGTGGGTATGAGTATGAGTGGGTCTGAGTATGAGTATGAGTGGGTCTGAGTATGAGTTCGAGCGGGTCTGAATGGGAGTCGGTCTGAATATGAGTGAGTATGGGTCTGAGTGAATCTGCATGTGATGATTGAGTGTGAACGTAAGCGTGAGGAAAAGGAGAAGGAGGAAAAGGAGAAGGAGGCAAGTTGGGGAGGAATAGTCGAAGCGGTCAGAATAATTACTCACTGCGTGGGGCTCCCCATATCTGCATGTGGAGGGCGTTTTGCCGCAGGAGCTGTACCACTTCGGCTTGGAGCAGGGGGTGGAGCTGAAGGCGCCGCGGGAGGAGGACATTGGGATTGGCGCCGTGAGTCTGGTCATGGGGTCGGCGCAGGCAGTCTTCTTGGCCCACGGCTGCTTGGAGGCGAGCTTCGACGCCTTGAGATCCCCGAGCCTATCCTACGGCAGGCCCGCCCCCACGTTTGGCCTCACCGACCGGGAGGCGGTCCGCTTCATTCTGATGCTGTACATCGACGACCAAATATGCTTCAGTCTGGTGGGGGAGGATGGGGAGACCACGATACTGGCCGACAAGGAGATGGTCAAGAAGCTCCTGAACAACAAGGGCCTCGCAGTGCACGAGGAGGCCTGGGGCGAGGGGACGGCGAGCGGGCTAGGTCTTTGCATCGGGCCTGGTCGACCATATACATTGACAGTGCAACCGACGAAGCTGGAGCAGCTTGTTCTAGCGACGGAGGCGGAAGTCTTTGAGACTCACATTCGGCCCGCAGCGGTGGCATCGCTGGTGGGACATTGGACCTGGACTATGATGGTGCTCCGCCCGCCCTTTGCTATGCTGGATGCTACCCACAAGCGGTTGAGGGAGTACGACGAGGAGGAGAGCGCGGTCCCGCATCGGCTGCCAGAGGAGGTGAGGTGCGAGCTTACCGCGGCCGCCTCCCTCTCGACTTACGTGGCGTCGAGCTTGGAGATGAAGTGGCTGCCGAGGGCCTGCATGACGGATGCGTCCAACGAGGGGTGTGGGGCCCTGGCTTGCGACTGCCTGGCGGAGCACGCGCGCCGAGAGGCCGCGCGTGGACATGGCGGCTCCCTGGGGGGCGGAGGTGGCGAAGACCCGCGCGGAGGTAGAGCAGGACCTGGAGGCGGCTGGCGACGAGGACCTGCGGGGCTCGCCCGCCACGGGCCGCCCAGGCGCGCTGGAGTCGCACTCGGGGGAGCTCGCGGCTGCTCGAGGCCGTCGAGCAGCCGACGCACTCCCGGGGGAAAGGCCTGGGACGTGGGAAAGAGGTTTCGGGTTCGGCGTGCTGGTGACCGCGAATCTGGAGCTGCTCCTGCGGAGACTGCGGACGGGTTGGTATTGGTGGGTGCATCTTGCACCACCTTGTGCCACTTTCTCGAGGGCACGGTGGCCTCCGCTCAGGTCGATCGATCGCCTCTGGGGATTGCCCGGCCTGAGCAAGCGAGACCAGGACCAGGTCGACGAGGGCAACGCTTGGGCGATGGTGGCCGTGGAGGTGGTCAGGATCTGCATACGACTGGCGCTGGGGCTTCGTGGGCCCTGGAAACGACAGGGCCGTTTTTTTACCGGTTCCGTTTTGCTGTTTTGTTGCCGGTTCAGACGCCGCTTTTTTACTGGTTCCGTCGCCGTTTTTTGACCGGTTCCGGCTCCGGTTCCAATCCTGGAGCCGTCTTTGTTGCCGTTTCTGGTCGCCTTTTTTTGTGCCGTTTCCATTTTCAAGGGCCATTTTTTGGGGAAACGGTGAAAAGACGGCCCTGCCGTTTCCGGGGCCCACAGAGGGCTGGGGTTCACTTTGGAGAACCCCATGAGCAGCTTGGTCTGGGACTTCCCGCCGCTGGAGGTCATCATGAGGTCGGACGGCCCGCGCCGCGCGGAGGTGGGCCATTGCATGTACGGAGAGGAGTGGAAGAAGCCGACCACCCTCATCACGAACGTGCAGAAGATGAGGAAACTGGAGCAGAAGTGCAAGGGTACGTTCTGGCGATGCAGCCGGACTGGGCGACCGCACCGCGAGCTGAGAGGGCGGCCCCCTTGTGGTGCGAGGTGGACGCAGCTGGCGTGTGCTTATCCCGTGAAGCTGTGCGAAGCGTACGCCACTATCTTGCGGGAGCTGGAGCCGCACTGGGACTCAATACCTCTTGGCGCGAGAGTGCAGCTTCATGGAGCTCGAGGGCGAGTTGTGCGAGCAACGGGACAAGCGATGCCGTTGCTGGGCCATTGGTTGGAGAAGAAGTGGCACCTGCTCTTCCAGGCGAGGTTGTCCAACCTGGAGCACAACAACGTCCTGGAGCTGCGCACCGTCGTGGCCGTGCTGAGACATCTCAGCCGTACGTCGCAGAGCTGGGGTCATCGAGTCCTGTTCTTCACGGAGTCCCCGGTGAGTTTGGGCGTCCTGAGGAAGGGCCGATCGTCGGCCAGGGACCTGCTCCACCCGGCGCGCATCGCGGGGATCATCCAGATGGTATGCAG